TATATATATAATATTAAGTTCTATGTTATTATTTAACCTATTGCGTTTACCAATTGCAAAAATTCGTGCAGCACATTAAGAAATATCACTCATGATTCAAGGTGCAATCAGAACTTGTGAGCTTGTGAGGGCTAGAGTTTACAATGTTAAAATGAATTCGATTTATAGCAAAAGATACAGCACAACAATTTATAAGAGAAGCGTTTTCGAAGAAATTATGCATAATGAGTTTTAACCACATACGCTTTAAGAATTTTGCTATCGCAATTTGGCGTCAGTTATTAAACTGTACAGATGCATACTCAAGCCCATAGACCTTAGGTTCTGGGGACGGAAACGTAGGCCTACAATTTGAAAATCAATATCCGCGTAGGTTAAACCCTTCGTCAAAAGAAATACTAACGTCAATACTAACAATAGCAAAGACAAAATCAACGATAGGCCTAATAATAATGATAATAATAATAATTATTATTATTATTATGAAAATTATTATTATTATGAAAATTGTTATTACTATTATTAAAATTATTAATACTATTATGAAAATTATTAAGACTATTATGAAAAGTATTAACACTTAAATTAAAATTATTATTATTATTATTATTATTATTATGAAAATATTTTTTTGGGTGAAATTATCGTATTTACCATTATATTTTCTGACCCTTCTTAAAAACGCCAATACTAACGTCAATACTAACAATAGCCAAGACAAAGTCAACGATAGGCCTAATAATAATAATAATGATAATAATAATTAGTTTTTAAAAACGGGGATATTGAGTGTGATGGAGGAGGGACTTTTTCGAGATGTCCTAGACTAATATATGTATATAAACAGTAACTTAATCAATTTGCGTTTTTTTCATTCAATTTGTATATAACTAATTTAATTAATTTCTCATTTATTGAATTGTATATACCCACTGATATATTGATTTGCTTTATTTGTACCGTACATTCAAATTGTAATTCAACCTGTGCTGCTGTTTTTTAATTTTATATGTGAATGAATA